ATATGTAATGAAAAATGGGGAGTTTTGTTGAAAAAATTTAAAGTGATCTTACCCTGTCTTTAGCGACACCACCCAAGGTCAAACTGATAAGATCAATAAATAGATATTTTTAAACCCTTACAACTTTTGTCTGAAACATTTTTCTGTAAAATTTAACTTATATTTTCCATGATATTCAAATGTCCTGGTACTTTTTAGACACTACATGTTTTTTACCATCTTAAAAAAGAATGACAGAGAGCAAAAAGTATAGAAAATTAAAATATTATTAATCTTATTAATAATATTTTTACCTCATAAGCGACATGTGATAATAAAGATAATTTTATTATATCTGTGAAATCCAAATATTTTGATATTTTTTCAATTAAAGATTTTGGTAATGTTAAAAGAGTATTTTTATTTCCTTTAGCAATATTGTTTACGTATTTTAATAAATATTTTCCTGTAATTGGAAATTGCAGTTTAGCAAAATTATAATGCAAATAAAAATATATCATTTTTAATAAAATTTGAATTTTAATATTATATTATAATATGACTTTTATATTGTATCTATAATTAATAATAATTTTAAAAACATATTATTTTAAAATAATATAAAAAATAAAAGTGAATAAGATTTTTAATAAAATGTGTCATAGAATTTAGCATTTCTGTTGTAAGAAATGTCTTACCAAATCCACGATGTATTTCGTTATGCAAGAATTTTTCTTGATCAAATTCAGTAAGCTTGGCACGATATACGATTGGTGTTTTATGAGGTCCGTGAGAAATTCTCCATAAGTACAAAATTACCTGAAGAATGAAAAGGTTATTAGAAGAAAATGGATGACATGTATTTTGTCAGTACCTCGTCTTCAAAAATCTTTAGACCGTAATAGTCTCTGCTGGGTGGAGGTGCAACTGAATACTTTATGAAGTATTCGATCCTGTTTCTCATACTCGACGGGGTCGCGTCGAGGAAGTTTGATCTGAACACTGCAATTCGTTGGTTCCTTAATGCAGAATAACGTTCATATCGAATCGAAACGTATAGGGTGTTGCATTTTGAACAGACAGTATTTATGTTGAATATGAGTTAAATGTTTTCACACATTGTCAATCTTTACATTTAAATTATAATACCAATTATTATAAAAGGATGTTTAATTAAAAATCAATTTTATTAAAGACGCGTATAATTTGACAATTATAATATAAATAGATAACTAATGTCATAATAATTGTGTAATAATTAATGTTTCACATATTAAAGCGCATTTTTTTTCATTTAAAATATTAAGTTGCAGTATATAAATAAAATATAAATTAAAAAACACTGTAATCCAAATTTATTTAAATTAAGAATTAAAATTTTTAGAATTTTTAGACCAATATAATGAATATTTTTCAAGATATTTTTATAATCTTATCTTTTAGGAATACAGAAAGTACGAAATTTTAAAAGCCAAGCATGATTCGAGATGTGATTCGAGGTGATTCGAGATTTCTTCTCACTGACAGAAAGGAACTCATAGACAAATTTGACTTCGTGATATTTTATTACAATATCTTTCATATGAAGAGATGAAGATAAATATAGAAATGTCGAAGTAAAAATGGAAAGTCGTGTGGCATTACGTATAGTAGTAATGTAGCAATAACAATATACAAGGTAGGCTATATAGTAATATCACAATGCATGATTCACAATTTCATAAAAGTCTAGAGAATAGGATATAAATCTAGATAGAGGATGCTTCTCACATACTTGAGTCGCCGCAGAGACAAAGTACCGCGTTATGTCCCGATTAATTAAAAAACTTTTTACCATGCTTTTCATACTTTCACAAAAGTGGACGTACTTGAGATACGCCAATTCGTAACGATTGTCGCTATTATTATCGTGCAGAGATAGATTCATATATGTAATAATCGCATCAACAGTACTTTAAGAGAAATTTGACAGTCTCTCAAATACAATGTTAATACTTAAATACAATGTTAATACAGCAAGGACTGTATTAATATTGTATTTAATGTTAAATATGATCATTTGAAAATTACAAGATTTACATGGTTAATTTGAAGATCTAAAATCGGACAGCCCCATTTAGTGTTAAATGCAAATACTGAATTTCTCTTAATAATAAAATCTTATTATTATTAGTAAATAATAGAAAAATTAAAAATTTTATTTCTAAAAATTAATTGTTAAAAATTAAAGATATCCTGATTATAATATATAAATCTTTAAAAAGAAGATAATTAACTTTTGATATTCTTTTTTAAATAATACAGTATCCCAAATTGAACAACGTTTAAAAAATGTTAAAATAATATATACAGATTGATCCTTTTTCTAATTATTAATTCACTTAAAGAGATTGATATTGTAAAGATCATCATTATGGACAAATTTAGTTAACTGCGATATATGTATGTATATGCTGATATAAAATATATCTACATGATTTGTAAAAAATATTTCACAAAAAATAAAATATTTTAAAAAAATTTCTTATTAATATTTTATACCTAAAACAACAAGCAAGTTAATAAACCACAGAGAAGCTGACAAATATAATTTTCTTTAAAAAAAAGAATATTTCCTTTTTGTTAAGCCTTTTTAAGTGCAATAATAATCAATAGGGTCAATTAAAAATTTAATTAGAAAATTACTTGCGATAATCAATAACAACAATCGTATACCTATCTGTGTTTCTCACGAATACTTGATTGCGCGGTTGATATGACATTTCTAGCTCCTCGGGCGACTGCTGTGTCTCGACGGTACGAAAAGCCGCATGAATAAATTATTACGTGCTAGCATAATCGAAAAATCTTACGAGCGACGGAATAAATCTAAGCAGTATAAAAAGATTTCGGGATTTCGAGTCGCGGGACACGCGAATCAGCCGTTGTTGTGTAAAATCAGTACGGCGATCATTTGTCCGATCCGGAAAATTCCCGTGATTTTCGTGCAACGACGTCGAAAAACCGAGAAGTGTCTCGTTCACGTTCGAGAATATTTGCGCATTTCGAATAAACCTGTTTCGCAGATATCAAACTTCTTTCTACAATCGCGCTTTCGCGCGTGATTGTACCGGCAGACTCGTGAAACGTTCGTAGAGCGATTGCACCAACAATGTAACAAAATATTGTTGTTGCATGTGACATATGTATTACGTTGCAAAATTAATAAAAAATTTTTCAATTCCATCTACTCACAATAATTTCTCTTGACATTTTATTTATAATCATTCGATGCACAAATTATAAATATTTACTTGTTTACACTATCATTTAAAAGTTTGGAACACTCTATAATTTGTAGATAAAAACACAATTTTCTTTATAGATATAATTATTTTCTTAAAAATAGTAAGAGAGACCGGGGCTAAAAGTTCCAATTTTGAGAAAATATGAAAAATAATGGGAAAGTAATGTAGTTATTCTCTTCACTATTGGCTAATTTATTGTTAAATTTGTTATATCTTAGGATTTTAAGCTTATATTTAATATATTGTAGTAGGTTTTTCATAAAAAGTCATTTATTTATGACTTGTCAAAGCGGAATTTTTTACTCCTTTGTGGGGCTAATTGTTATCGCATTGAGGTAAATTGTTACTGAGAAATAAGATTGCCTTTTAATAAAATAAAACAATTTTATAATGTTTATTTATTAATTTTTTAGTCATGTTTATTAAAATTCAGATTAATAAAAATATATTAAATGAAGTAGCTCGATTAGAACTTGTTACTTCAGAAGTTCTTATTGAAAGTTTCGGATTTTTTTTTTAAAAGAAAGCGCTTAGCCAATCAGTCCCAGCCATACTATTTTTGCGCCAAGAAGATGGAATGCTCTTAAAGTTAAATTTTATCGCACATTTATATGCTAATTTTTTTACTTTTTGCAATAAAAGATCAAAATAGATTGAGCATTTCAAAAAATATCCTGTCACAACTTTTTCTTATTCCTCATTAAAAACTAATTTCACTTTCTTGTAATCTACTGAGGTCTCTAATCCAGCTTGTGGTTTTTGACAACAAATCTTGACAGAGTCTTGTGATGCAGATATAGAATTTTCTAGTAACAATTTTTATCTTCTGATCTTCTTTTACAACGGCTTCAGCGGCTTTATTCATAACTTCAATAGAAATAGTACCCCTTTCCGTCTTTTGTTTATATGTTCGCATCTTAAAACACAGCAGGAACTATTTATACATTTGCAATAAGGCAAATTGTTATGGTAACAATGTGCCCCAAGATGCAGTAACAATTAGCCCCCATCGACACATGTGGCAATTTGTGAGAATATTCTACTTATATACTGAAATTATCTAATAAACACTATTGCAACGTACATGTTCTTAAATGTTATTTGATTCATAAGGACGAAATAATCAGTGATATCGATGTTAAGTAATTGAAATAGACCAAAAAATAATGATCGAAAAATATTGACTTATCTGGTGACTAGGTCTTTCTTACAACCACACGATTCACTGTTGCGGACGTTACTAAAATGACAGAGTGGCGCCGTCGACTCACGCGACAAAAAAATTTAAAACACAACGCTATCTCGTTTCATTTTGAAGATATAACCGTCAGTACAATTTACCCCCGGAACTTTTAGTCCCGGTCTCCCCTAATTTTTATATTTGAACGTGCATTATTGAATTAAAATTTATAATTAAAATGACATAAACTTTTGTACATTTATAATGTTAGTAAATAAAGTTAGTTATAAACTTTTTTTTCAAAATTTAGTGATGTTCCAAACTTTTGAACGGTAATGCATATTCCATCTTCATTTTTTTTTAATTATATTGATCAATATTTTTACGAAACTAATGGAATTTAATACTTTAATAGAGTAACCAATATAAACATTCTCATAATTATGGTTACATGTATCAATACGCATACACATGTATTATACAAAATAGATGACCTGTGTGTCATAATAATTAATATTTCTATAAACAATATAATTTCTTCCTTGGTGCACTCGCTCACTGACGAATTTTCGTGCACGAGAGATATCGATGCATCTAGCGTGTAACGGAAGTAAGTCCCTTAACATGCGCATTAAATATTATCAAAACAAAAAGTAAACTTTTCCTAATTTTGGAAAATATGTATATCCATATAATAGAAATGTTATAATAGAAATGATTAAATTGGCTAATAATGTAGAAATCGTTGAATACGTATGTATTATATCGAAATCTCATTAAATTTTATATTTTATTCGATATGTGTACATTACACTAAAATAATATTTGTGCATCATGACACATTTAAAAAGGATGACTTACTTCTCGGTTACCACGCGTACGCATTCGAATGTGTATACATAAAATGTGTGTATACATATATATATATATATATATATATATATATATTTATAGATATACATAATAAATATCCATATAACGTTTTGGAAGAACAGATTTGCATATTGCGATAGCGCAAAAAGAATTGGACCGCCTTATCGAGGAAAAGCGGTTTCTCAGATATGTTACTGGTCACCAACGTGATCAAAATCTTTTTATATTATCTAGAAATTAATTGTTTGCAATTAATTTCGTGACATTAATAAAAATCAACTATCAAGTAATAATGTTAATTTCGTATAATTATATATAATTATATATTATAAATAATATATTACGTTGAAATAAATATTGTTCATTTCTTTTAACAAGGAAATGCGGTGTCCTCTGACTTTGATGAACTTTTTTTGATATGTTGTATTCTAAATCAAAATAAAAAACACATATCTTTTATATGTACTTTTAGGGAGTAAAGCATCTTTTTGAAACAAATCGATTATTTTCTTTCAAAGCAAATATCGTCGAAATCACAAAAGATGGAGAAACATTCTTTTCAATAAAAATTGAATGGTTTTAATTTTATAATAATTATTAAAAAATTCTTTTTATTTTATATTTTTTTAAATATATCCCTTACTGCTTAACATTTTTTAAATATAAATTCAATTATATATGATAAAGTTATTTTTTAGTATATTATTTTCAAGAATTAATTACAAACGCTTGTCTATACCTGTCTATGTGTTTGATTCTTCATACATATTTTGCTCGTAATTTATATACTCTCCCGTAATATGAAATAATGATGATAAAAACAAATACATTTTAAAAACATTTTGAGAATTTGTAATCATGGAAGTTTTTATCGTGCACAGTTAGAATATTTACGTTATTTACATATAACACTTGAATACACTTTGTAATAAGATCGTAGTATCAAGATATGAAAAATTAAATATGACTAATCCGAAGTGCACACCAACGCTCACGAAAATAAAGTATTTTCAAAATTATAAAAAAATGTTAAATACTACAATATTTTAAAAAATAAAAAATTTAAAAAATTTTATCATTACTATAAAGTACTCATGAAATTATTCAATGTATGTTTAAAATTTTTTTAGTTTTTTTGCAAAGTTTCGACGATTTTGCTTCAAAACAAAATTATCAATTTTTTCAAAAGGATGTTTTATTCTATAAAAGTATGTAAGTACATATAAAAAAATACATGTACCTTTGGTATAAAATATAACATTAAAATTTATCAAATCGGAGAAGGATATTTCTGTGCATTTGTAAGTTAGACTAATAATAATTATATTATTATTATTATTATTATTATTATTATTATTATTATCACTTCACAGTTTAAACGGATCCATTTCTTCTCGTCGTCTCATCGATAAGGCGCCCAGTAGAAGATTTAACGAGCACGAGGTGCAAGGTGCTCGAATCGGAACTTAACTTACTGGGAAACGTTTGGAAATTTATCTCATCGATTTTAATAAGTTTCGAATATGCTGCAGAATTGGTTAAAAATAAGAGAGATATTCAAAGGTCACCAAAATCGATGAAAGGATACTTTCAAACTTTCCTTGCTAGATCTAAGAAGAGAGAGAAGGAGTCATTTAAAACTTGCCGTTGAACGAAATCGAAAGAGAATAGAGGCGTTCGCTAATTGATCGATCCAATTTTCATACGAGGCGTCCCAATTTCTATAGATTTCACGCGTTCTATAGATGTTTTGTACGTCGAGTAGAGTCGAAGGGTCAATCGAAGGGGAACCGCGTCGCGGGAGCAATGAATGAGAGATCAACGTAGAAAAAATTCGACCGATTAAATTAGTAACTTAGAAGGTAAGTGACAAAAATGCCTTCCTGTGACATGGCTGTAGAGAAACGTCATGTCTCCCGTCAGAATGGGATAAGATCGTAGATATAGGCGTAATAAATGCAGTATTCAAGACTTGCAGTCTGTGAAAAAAATCAGATATTATGTCATAGCCGATTTTATCGAATGACATATCAAACTTTATCGATAAAATTGGAGAATCATTTAGTATAAATTTTATAGATTTTGGAAATAATTTCTATATCTATTTAAGATTACTGTCTCTTGCTACTTGAAACTCTTCGCAGAATGCGAGATACAAGGTTCGCGATCCTATTTCCAGGCCACAGAATGGCATCGGTTGCTTCTAAGGTATCGCGTTAGGTATTTCGTTGCTCTCTACGATTGTTGAATGACCGACATCGCCGTCTCCGTAATTGCTCTTCCGTCCCTGCAGATGCTCGACGATGTCGTCGTTTGCTCGGACGGGGCAGCCGCGATTGTCAGTTGCCTTTGCTCCATGTGATCGAGAGTCTTCTCGATAGCTCGTAGTCGCTTCTCCAAGCTAGTAGTGCCCAGGATACCCACCTGTAGCTGCGGTCCCAACGGTAAAATCGCAAGCAGCCACCATGCCCATGACGGACCGTCCGGTAGACGTGGCCAGTCCTCCTCTGTGTCCGGCATACGTCCGAACACCCGTTGGATTTCGGATTTCTGAGAGATCGACACTGTGTCCCACCATCTTCGGCCCTTTGCCCGTACCTGTGAGCGAATAAATTAGCCTCGTTGACACAGTTTCCATATAATTTCGATTTTTCAAATAATTAATTATTATGATTAAACTGCATGATTAAATTTTATGATAAAGAGAACTTTTCTCTACATTTTCATGCCAGGAACAATCTTGTATAAGATAAATATCACAATGACCGGACATGTGTGTGTAATAGTACCTACGTTCGGACACTTACACAAAATTTATTAATCTCAAAAGGTTTTTTTTATTACAATATCAAAACTTAATTATAAAAATAATATTTAATAATTACAATTAAGTTATAATAAAAAATTTTGAGATTAATAATAAATAAGTTTTATATATAAGGTATCCGGATATAGATACATGTTAAGTCACTCTAGAACGTTTACCTTATCATATGACTTTTTGTAATTAAAAAATACTATATATTTACAGATAATAGACATGTAGTATTTTTTGATAAAGATTGTATCTTTTAAAATTATTTTGTAATTATCGAAAATAACAAAATGCAGAAAAACAAATGTAAACTATTTTATGTATAGCTTACTTAAATATATATGCTAAAAATATTAAATATAAAGCGTTTTGGTCAGAATTAAATTGTAACTGAATGTTCACACACTTTTCACGCGCGCGATCAACTAGTCAAGCGAAAGCGGCTCCTAAACTTTAATATTATTGAATAATATTTAATTGCTCAATATTATTGATGGAGACATTGAAGGTTTGGGCAATATGTTGTGTAAATCAAAAGTTGTTTGAAATACTTACATTATAAGTATTTATATTATACAACATTAAAAATAAACATTGGTCGTCTTAAATTTGCATCTTATTGCTCACTAGTACCCCCAGATAGATCAATATTTTACATGTTACACAGTGCATTTTAAATAATTTTTTATTTCAAGCAATATATTGCCCAAATCCTCAATATTGCCTCCATGAATAATATTGTGCAATATTGAATATTGTTAGTTAATATTAATCGTTTAGGAGCCGTTTTAGCTTGACTTGTTATCGCGCGCGTGAAAAGTGTGAATATTTCAGTTACAATTTAACACGTAATCAAAATTGACGTTGAATAATGAGATATGAATGGTCTTTTAATCACGTGATCTATTTTCTAAAAAATTAATCATTGTGTTCTTTTTTTGGCTCATTATCACACATAGAACGATGGTCATTCTATTTAAAAAAAGAAAATGCTATCCAGTTTAAAAATTTATCATCATTAAATCTTGATTTTCTTAATAATATTGACTCTAAATATTGTCAGAAAAAATTTTGTAAGACACAATCAATATATGTTAATAACAATTAAGATCAAACGTTAAATAATAAAATAAGATCAAACTAAATAACAAAAGTTAACTGAATTCCGCTCCCATTAATTAGCTAAATTGTTAAAAAATTAACTATTTTTGTCATCGTGACACAAAAAGTATAATTGAGTCTTTCTTCTTGTTTTTATACCAATTATATTATTATGAGATATTATAAGATATTATCAAATGAGAGAATACTGATTTTAAAAAATTTAAGTAAAAACGTAAATCTTTAACTTAATATAATAAGATTAAATAAAGTTATAAAATAAGCATCCAGAAATGTTTAAAATCATAAGTTAATACTTTTTTGTATTCTAACAAATATAAAATGATAAGTTTTGCAGCCGGAATAATTGATTAACATTTTATTAATAATGTTTTGTACAATTTTTACCTTATTATGAAGCTCCAAAAGATTCAATAATTGATCTTCTTGTACAACGGTATCCCTGAGAAATTCCACCTGTGCTGTATCGTAACCATCCTTTTCTCCACCAGACAGAACCCTGAATCTTCTACCACCAACCGTGCTAAGAATACTGCAACCATCTTTGAGCAATACTCGATCTCGAATGTCTAGGATAGTTCCATACTCCGCATATCTGAAAAAATGAATTAACATATTATTAGTTTTTAATAGCTTTATCTCTTTTAGATACATTAATAATAATATGATGTATATATGATGTATATATGATGTATAGACTACATATAAATCATGCATTATACATATACACATTATACATATACATAATATGATGTATATATGATGTATAGACTACATATAAATCATGCATTATACATATACACGGTGTCCCATGGGAAGATGCTGAAACTAATCAAGTGAAACTGTAAAGCTGCCATTTTTAAACGCACGTAGAGAATAAGAAAAATAAAATAGCTTTCAACAATTCTTTTCAAACTTTATTTATTTTTTGACAAAGGATTGACAATTAGTTTTCTTATCCTTTGCTTTTCTCAATTTCCGAAATAAATATCTTTCAGAATTTAGCATTTCAAAAATATATACTTTAATATTCGTAACACTTGACATTTTTATAAACATATATTAAATAATAAAAATACTTCTGATTTACTCCATAAAACTGCTAAGTATCCTCTATTGAAAGATATTTTATTTTTCCTATTCTTTATGTGCGTTTAAAAATGACAATTGATTAGTTTCAGCAACTTTCCATGGGACACCCTTATGTACATAAATTCTAAAATGAAAATTAATTTTCTTCTATTCACGTACATATTAAATAATCATTATTTTACATGCAATGCATATTATTTAATAATTACTATTTCTTATATTCATATAATTATTTTTTCGCAATGAAACTGATAATATGACAAATTAAGATTGATCAAAAGAAATATAAATAAAAAGTTAAATATTTAAAAATTGAAATAATGCATTTCAATGTTAATTTAATTCACGATTGTGTATAAACAAATTTAAATTGAAATTATTGTAAAACGAACGTCTATACCTTTTCGTACCCGTTGCCTCCTTGTTGAGACACGCAGCGATCCCAAATTGGCGTATGCCGCTATCCACGCATCTTCTGACCATCAGCCTGTATCTAGGCTCGTAGACAAACAAGGGACAGGCAACACAGGGAAATGCTGTCGTGCAGATGAAAACGGCGATTTGTTCGTTATCCAAAAGACCAAGCCCTTGGACCAGTTCGAGCTGATGACTCACAGCTCTGGAGGTATATTCCGCGGGCGCCACTGTTTTAAGCGCTTTCTCTACAAAATCCGTCACAGTTTTTTGACTACTGGCTAGATACTGAAAGCAGAAGAAGATAATTAGTTAATAAGACAACTTAAATAATCGTGTGTAACCATGTCATTCATGATACCAATTTCAAACAAGTAAAACAATTAAATCTTATAAAACAATATAAGTATTCTTGATTGGGATTTGTATATTTTGTATGTTCATGAGTATTATGTGGATACGTAATAGTAAATTTATTTAAGATGAAAAATAGAGAAGTAAAAAATAAGTTTTGTTTATTGTTTTATGATATCTGTTACTTTCTGTATAATAAAGACGCTTGTTTATTTCTTTTAGTACTAGAATATTTTTTATGTAAAAAATTTTCAATTTTTTATTAAAAATCATATTTTGCAAATTTTTCATATTTACAATTATATTACTTAATAAAATTTAACAATTCCAAAAAACAATGCAAATTATATATTATTGTTAGAGTCCTAAATAATTAATGATAATTATATGTAATAGTAAAGAGATTGTCGCAAGAAGAATATTTCTAAATAATCGAACGTAATCATCGATATATTGCGAAGATAGAATGAAAAAACAAGGAGCGCACCATAAGATCATCGTTGACATCGTTGTCATTAAATATAATACAGACGATCGGTAATGACGCTACGAACGCGGAAGTTCTTGACAAACCGCTTCGACGACCGCAAACAATAATCATTTCAATCTGCGGCGTCGTCGTTAACCGCTAGAAAGCATCATGTCTCATTTATGGACAGGTGTTGTTGCGGAATGTGTTTCGCGCCCGAATGTATTTTCCTGCTCTTTGAAATCAGGAACTCAGGAATAACGAGCAACTTAGATGCAACTAATTGTAAGATGTACATTCATTGGAGAAAAGTGCAATGCATCTGTTATATAAATGTAAATTAAGACTGTAATGGCAGAGAAAGAAAAGACTGGTTAATATAGTTTCGAATAAAGGTAACTAACACTATTCTTAAAATTAAATAATCTAAAAATTTAAATAATTTAAAAATAATTCCATTTTATTCAGTTGCAATGAAATTTATAGAACAAGAGAAAAAAACTGAGAAATTTTTTGTTCTAAAAATTTATTAATTCTACATGTATTTTGAAACTTGATCTTGATTTTGAAATTAAAATTGTTCTAAATTCTTGAATTCAAATCTTAAAATTTTAATTATATTTTTATTAAAATTAATTATTTACCGTTTAAATTATCTTATAACTATTTATAACTTTTTATACTAATTTGAAAAAAAAAGGATTATAAAAATCTAATAAATCGTTGTATTAATAATTAAATCAAATTGCTGGATGAGAATAGCAATATTATTCAGAACACTTAAATAAAATTAATTAACATTTGTGTAGAAAGTTTTCTTACGTCAGCCAAAGACGTGACGCACAAGGGACAAGCCGAAGAGTAATCCAGGCAGCGGTCCAGGCACATCCAGCAATAGGTGTGACCGCAGGGTGTCGTGACGGGCTTCCAAAGCAGACGGCAACATAAGATGCAATCCAATTCTCCGGCCGTGCTGCTGGAAAGAGTTGGCAAGAGGATTTCGGCGGGTCTCGGTTCGATTCCTGCAAGTAACGTCGTCTTAAGATATTTTTGCGATTATAAAAGAAGTGCGCGTGTATCGGCGGGTGATAATACTTTTCAATTTTTCTATATCCTGATATACACGATTCAAACTCGCTTGTAGTTTCGTGTTGATTTGTGGCACAATGGAGGACCGAATTCTTCTGTTTATTGTCTGTGAACCGAAACGAATAAAGTGAGTAATTAAGTCTGGGATAATCGTGTAAAAAATCTGAACAGCTGATTAAAGATTAATAATGAAAGTAAAAATATACTACAATATAATATAAATAGAATATAAATAGAATATAAACAAATAATAAAAAAGAAGGCAATACAACTTATTTTATTCCTAGACAATACAAAGTCTAAAATCGACGCATAAGACGTCTTTTAGTCATCTTTTAGACATCTTTAGGTAGTTCTCGCAGAAGTATCTAAAAGACATTTAAAAAAGACGTCTTAAAGATGTCTTATGCGTCAATTTTATATTTTGTACTGTCTGAGACTGTTAATAATAACAATAATGCTGTCAAAGATATTATACTTTTTTACTTCTAATGATACTATATTAATGATAGTAACAGCCACTGAATGTCTAATCGACACAGTGTCTAATAGTCGCTTATCACATTCTCTAAATGCTTGTGTCGAATGACATATAATCTAATATCCTTTTTTTATCAAGCATAAGAAATATCTAACAAGCATAAAATCAGGATAATCTTCGAGGAAAGCACCTGTGTGAATTCTTCTTCGCCGCTGCTGTTGTCCTCGCAATCGGACCTGTTCAGGGCAACGCATCGGCTGCGGTTGGGATTTATTAGCTGATGACGATTCCTCATGCGTGACGTGCTCTTCGTTAAACTGTATGGCGTGCGTGATGACAGGACACTCTGCCGATATACCTTAGGCGACAGCACTCTGTGCAGAATCTGCAACACACGACCACGAACTTGGTAATACGTGTATCAATCGAATAAATTTGAATGCAAAACGACTGGCAATTATCTGAATTGATTGCTTTTCAAAGCAAACTTATAATTCTAAGCACCGTTATTAACAGCAATGTTTTAACGAGATATTATAAAACAAAATATAATTAAATCTAAGAGATAAGTTTACTTAATTTATATTTATAATTTTATTAATATTACTTTGTAACGAAATAATCAACTTAAAAAAGATGTAAATGTTGATTATTTAATTATTAAAACTTACAGAAAATTGTCAAATTTTTAAATTCAATTAAATGTAATATGGTTTTATATAATAAACATGAATAAAATATGTGAGAAAGATTAATGTGCGTTGAAGTAACTTTAAAATATCCTCTTTTGCTACAAAGAGATTTAGCAAGAGGTAAAATTTTTTCTGAATTGACGTTGCAAAACATTCTAACATAAAGAATCAATGTTCAAAATTAATGGACTATATCATATAAGGATTTCAACGAATAGCGACAAACAAATTCCACTTGTTTCATCAGTAGCACGTATTTCTTTCTTGACGTGTCCTATATATGAGATGCTTCTAATTGCAAGATCGACTGTGTAGTATTCAGCTGGTCGCTAAATCGGCGCGATTAACGCATGAAATAACACGGTTGAGTAATCCGAGACGTTTTCGGACGATGAAAGTAAAAGTGCGCCTTCCATAATGCGGACCTAACCGATGGATTCAGCGGCACGGGAAAGAATGATTCCCTGGGTCTTATATAAGTGGCGGTGCAGCTTGCATCAATGATTCTGCCATCGGGCGCTTGCTTATGTAATCGCCGTAATATGCTCGAAAATTCAATACGCTCCGTTTTTTAAATTATTTAACATCAAAATTCGACGCGAGCAATTGTCGCATTGAATTATTTAATATTCATCGATTGTTACTATACATAATCGCATCTCGGGCTTCACAGATATTCGCGTGTGACGCAACATTGCGAAACTTAACGTCGATCGAGCAGCCTCAATGTCAAATATCAATTTGAAATACGACATTTGATAGCTCGGACATAAGCTTTGCAATAAATTGACATTTCAGTTGTATTCGTTTTCGCAATACTGAAAAATTTCAGAGTAACCTAAAATATGAATCTTTATGTGAGAAAATATCTCCGCGTTTTGCGTGGACAGAAGATGTAATGAGATGCAGTTACTTGTATTTCATGACATAAGAAATTGACAGATCAACGAATAAGAGATATTCCAGAAAGATGGGAATAAGAAATGTTTTCAAAAATTCGACGTAGAAGAGAAGCATTTTGCATTATGCACGAGAGGGCGGAGAACGCAGCGGCGCGGCGGGGCCGTGCGTCACACGGTGGAAGATCGATATATCGACGCCGCCGTCGCGAGCCTTAGCCGTCGCGTCGCGTGAAACAACACGTGGAAACGGCACATTTGCTCTGCGAGAGCAGCATCGGTTTCGCTCGCTGCGCCGCGCGTATGTGGTTATCGTTGCCCCTGGCGTGCGGGTCACTCACCTGACGACCATCGCACCGAGTCATTAAGGCTGCGCGGCAGGCAGCAGTCGTACCGGAAACGTCGCGGCGCGCATTTCTTTTGTGTTGTGTGTGATGCTCTGCGAATAGAGACGGATGCATTCTCGGTTCCCCGCGATGCATTCCATCAGTCGCGCGATAGCGATTATCCCGCGAGGAACGCAGATTTCTTTACCCATGATCGAGCTATAGTTCACCTTATCCTTTCGTTCAAGGACTCGTTCTAAAGGCGGGAGCACAGACTTTTGAATAACGCAGAAGACATAAGGCATAAGAGAATCAACCAATCAGAGTATGAAATGAAGGACTCTAATTGGTTGTTTTTCTTATGCATTATGTCTTGTGCGTTATGCAGCGTTATGCAAAAATCTGTGCTCCCTGCTTAACGATTTATAGGAATGTTACGAGAACTAAATGAACATGAACTTGTGTAACTCAATTTGAATCTCGACTTGAGTTCGAAATCAATCGAGTTTAATTTAATTTTTAATCACCGGAAAACTGTGCGTGCGCAATTCGATTTATTGGAGGCTAATCAACGCTGTACATAGTCCATTAATTTCGAATATTCTAATTTTAGTTATCCAAACTTATATAACAAATCACATTTTGCGATTGGAACAAATATTTTATTAACTTCTATGTTTTGATAATAGGCTACTTTTGGTAATTTTTATATAAAAATTAAAAAGCATCGGTAGAACGTACTTTGGTCAACTCATGGCGTACCGCTTGTGGATTTTTGTCAATGGCCACGCTAATGCAAAGAGCATAGAGCGCTTCTTCGTGTCTTCCAAGCGCCGACAAAGCAATCCCTCTTCTATAGTGTCCCTAAAGATACAAAATAAAAATATATTAATATTAAAATATTACAAAAATTAAAAATATTATATTTTATATTATAAAAACAAATAAATTTATGTGTTAATTTAATAATTACAATATTTTTATTTAATAACAATTTTTAAATAATAGTTTATATATTTATATAACATATAAACATAATAATAATAAGTTATATAATTTATAATAATAGTAGTTATATAATTTATATAACAATTTTTATATAATAGTTTTTATATTTATATAATAATATATAAACATAATAAAATAAGTTATATAGTTTATAATAGTTTATATAATAAGATCGCAATAAAATTTGTATTATTATACGTAAGATGTTAATAAAATTAAGATATATATATTGCAATATATTCTACGTATATCACAAATTAATAAATTAAAGGTTAAAATAAAGATAATAAATTTTTGAATATTCTATTTTTTATTTTAATTAGAGAACATTTTATCCCCCTTTAAATTAGATAAAAATTACTAAATCGAAACATATGCATTTTGATTTAATGCAGACATGCCTAATACATGCACCGATTATATGTATATGTAGGCTTTGGTCCTGTCTTTCCTCACCTTGCCCCAGTCTGGCCGCAATCTAACTGCATGATCAGCGTCCGTGAGAGCGGCTAAAGGCCTATTCAACAGGAGTAAGACGTGAGCCCTGTTGCTAAGGTGGAGCGGACTATTCGGTGCTGAAACATAAAAAAACAGGCTCGTAAAATACCTATTGAATGGCGAACGAATTTTAGTTTGAAACGCCCTGGGGGTTTTGTTCTTTGTGCGAATCAAGAAATAATCGGAATAAATTTATTCTATCCTAAAATGTTTTAAAAGCCGAGCAGGTTTGTGATCGACGTCAACGAATGATGTCATAACTGGCGACTGGTATTATGATTCATGCATTCCACATGGAACAATGGAGATGCATAGCCAGACATTTTGCAAATGAACTAATAATTGCATATATTTGATTTGACTTTTATTTATGAATTTACATATTTACTGCGAGATGCAATAACACTACACGCATGTTTGACATTTAAACGGATCAAACGAGCATTTGAAAGAGCATTGCATCACTGACGATACCTCGGTACATATTTTGCATAAGAATGCACTTATGAATATCGTCGTGTATAAATTCTGAACAGTCTACAAGTTTTTGTTTTACGATTATAGCAGTCTGGACTTGTTTAATTTCGTGGAGATTCGTTTCGCAAAAAAAGCGCTGGTTATTTCCGGCCAAGCACATTTCATAGAAGCGACCGCGGACGATGCCATCGGCCGATGCAGGCGGCGACGGCGGGCGGCGCATCCCGGCATTGTGAGCAATGTCATTGCCTCCGCGGCTGAAGTCCCTTGCTTGGACGGAGAAAATTTCCAACGCTCACGTCAGTGTCGCGAATCGCTAACGCTAAAAGTGGCATCTCATCGAGATTTTTTTATGCTCCACGATAAAATAAATTAGAAAAGGAATGCACTTTAATTGTAAGCTCAAGTAAATTTTATCATACGTCATCAACTTTCCAAATTTCAACATTCTGAAAATTTTAATTATTTGAAATTAATATAAAATTTAAATTATTAAGTTTTTCTAAATTTGTTTATACTTATATATAAAGTTTAATTATTAGATTTTAAATGAAATGAAACTGTAGCGCCCAAAAAAAATATTCTATCCTTTAGCGGTACCCTCTTAATGCTAAAAGATTTTCCTCTTATATATGTCTCAAGAAGATAATCTAAAATGTAGAGGAATATCAAATTACTATGAGTATATATTCTAAAATGTAGAGGAATATCGAATTACTATGAAAATTTATTCTTGATTATAGCGCATAGTCCACTTCTTTATAGATAAATACACGTTATAGCTGAGGAGTATGCTTCATGTAAAATTTTTTTGCTTAGAGGAAATGCTTAAAGGAATTACCTGCTTATAAGTAGAACATTTTTTTGGGGTGAGCGAAAAGTTGTAAAAACGTATAAGACGAATTTTCTTTTGTTATCTACGATAAAAGAGAGTATCCAATATCGATTTTTAAAGAGATTATGTAAAAAAAGTTAATTATATAGACTTTCAGATTTTTGTGTAAGGATAACAAGTTTATAAAGAAAAGAATATATAATGTTTATATTTACACGCAAAAAAATGGATCTTTATAACTTGTATCACAGCGGCTCGTTTTTTTGCATGTGAATATATATAGATAAAAATTAAAATAATGAAATGACAAAGAGTCAAAGAAGATTATTAAAGGTTAATTAATGGTTAATGTTTGCAATTTTCACTTCCTTTTAATATTAATGTGATTCATATTATATTTTAAATATATTAAGATTATAATGCTAAATATTTTGGATTACTTGCAAGATATTTTCTAAATAACTATTTTAAAAACACGTAAATATTTTGTAACAAAAGATAATTTGTTTTAAAAAGTTTCACCCCAATAAATAACAACACTGAGAGCAATTTACAATTTGCTCTCAATGCAACGGCGACTTATATAATTGCCTTATTTTGTCTCTGCATGAGCATCTATCCCCAGGATAAATAAGAAGCAGGACAACGTATTAAACGCTCATTAATGATATACTTACAATTAGTCTTAGAATCATACTGTGAAGCTGTGATGTTAGAAGAATCTCAAACATTTGACATACTGAACAAATACAAAGAGCGGTCCCCATAAGCCGACTTTTGTAACTTATCTTTGAATGTGGCGACGTTTGAATTTAAAGACACGAAAAAACCTAATCACTACGCAAACTATCGTTGTATGAGCCTCTTACTCGTATGTCTGAAAAATCCCGTTATTGTTGAATTACATGTGTAATTCCTTTAAATTTATTAGTATCGTGTTTGCAATTTATTTTACCAATATTATTATTAAATCAGTGTGCCACTTTTCAGTTAAACTTAAGCTTTAAACTTACAATTTAAATACAATTTTTAGAAAAAAATAAAAAAATATATATATATATTTTTAGATCAAATTAAAGAAATTATTATGTTTTATCTTAATTAACCTTCAAATGGTACACTTCTTTCGAGCACTCACTAATGGAACTGTTGCCGCGGCTAGCCGGCGAATAGCCGCGACAGATATCTCTGTGCAAATCTCAGCAATTCGAAAATTTTCGCGGTGCAAATTCGCACTCTTGTACCATTTGAAGGTTAATAGGTATTATATACGAGGGCAAGTCAATAAGTTTTTAAAAAAACATAATAAAACACATTTTTTTATCGATTAATTTTTATTTTTCAACATAGTCTCCTTTCAGCTCGATACATTTGATCCAACGATTCTCCAAATTTTTCGAGCCGTCCGAATAATATGATTTGTCCACCCTTCAAAATAAGCCTCTGTTTCGGCGGTGAGCTGCTCTCTGGTGGTGAATCTCTTTCCTCCGAACCATTTCTTCAGGTTTAAAAACAGGAAATAGTCGTAGGGGACTAAATCTGACGAATATGCTGGAAGGGGAAGCAATTCGTAGCGGAATTCGTTGAATTTGGCCATCGGTGCAGGAGTCGCGCTTATGGTCCACAGTGAGCAAACGCGGCACCCATTTTGCCGATAGCTTTTTCATACCCAATTGTTCGTGTAAAATTAAAATCACTATGCCATGTGATATGCCTGTGGCCTCAACAAGCTCGCGCACTTCCACTCGTCGATCAGTTAAAACAATATCGTGGACTTTATCGATGATTTCTGGCGTAGCAGCCTCAATTGGACGTCCCGAACGAGGTGCATCACATATGGATGTATGTACAACCACGTTTAAATTCATTCACCCAATTGTATACAGTCGCAAACGTTGGTGCAAATGTGCTATAAACATTATCCAACTCGGCTTTGTTTGAGTAAATGTTTGATCACTGCACAAAACTCGTTTTTTTTCCATTTTGCAAAAAATACAACGATTGTTCGCTTTAATCGTCTACAGAAATGAAACCATGCGATGAATTCCGCTCAAAATTTTATATTAATCAGCTGAAAGATGCTACTTGTCAAAAAGTAATGTGACATGACACTGCGAGTGCTCTCTAACAGATTTTCTAAAAACTTATTGACTTGCCCTCGTATAATCTCTTAAGGTAAAATAAAAACACAAATTTTTGAGAATACTAAATTTGCCTCATAAATTCCTTTTAAATGAAAAAATTAATTTTATGATCGTATAAAATATATATAAATATATAAATATTAAATTTGGGATTCATACTACTTCTATTTATATTTTCGGCGCTATTATTACTGATAAAGTTGCTATGTATATACCGATACACACCGTGATAAGTCATAGACAATTAATCGAGAAGGCAAGTGTTTCCGATTGCGTCGATTATATAAATACTCATGCACGATTAAATGCGTGCAAAGGAACGTAATTTTCCGCATCAATGCTAAGCTACAAGAAATGCAACGGGATACCGATGAACAAGTTCATTCATTAGTGCAATCATTCTTCGAATACGCTGTAAAAAACGCTCTTCCTGTCTGTACGATCGAATGCCAAGGTCCGCCTCGGATGATCAATCGCTTGCTCACCGCGGGCAATCGACCCGATCATTAGAACGTGTACTTCCTACGATCTCTCATTCAGACCATACCTAAATCAATAAATCCTAATCGATTGTGCGACAAGCACTTATTAAATGAATAGAGTTGTTTCTTTCAAAAATGTAGTCAGGATAAAACTTTTGTATTCTTTGAGTATCTGAACTTTTGATATTTTAAACATAAAAACACGAATGAAACCCAGTCTGTGTAGACATATAAATTTCTTATTCTATAATATATTTTAAGAATCTCATAAAATCTTGAATTTATTGGTAAAAGAATGTTATGAATCTCTTTTAATAAAATTCTTAAATAGTCAGCGTTAATAATAAAACAATTACGTAATCACTTTTTTATCTTCAGATTATAATGCGCTAATTTATCCAACATAATTTCTTGGTGTGTCTTAAATCGCAAATATACAAGAAAAAAATTCAAAGATATCTACGCTATTAAGAAGTAGTATTTTCGAATTTTCGGTATTTATTAGCACCAAGATAGAAATTAATGAAACTTTGCAATTTTAAAACGAAGTCAGTCAGGCTGTTATTCTAAAAGATTAAATATAGTTTTGTCGTGCCTAACAGATTCCTAAATTGCACGAGGAGATGCACTGACGCACGCCGAAAGGTTCGATGCCGTGTGCGCAACCAGGCGCGACAGACGGCTGCTGACCTTCGTTGGAAAGAAGACGAGCGGTACGGAACGAGGGAAAAAGAGAGAAGAGGAGAGGGACTTGCCAGTGCCGAGTTCGAGAACCGAGTTAACGAAGCGTCATATGGAGCGTATACTCTTGTAAAGCGCTCACGTGAAAATCGGAGCAAGAACTGTTGCTGCACATGCTGTCGAGCTTGTGCATTCCCGGCATTCCCGAGAATTGGAATCGTGACAGATAGCGTGTCAAGAGATTAAGAATGTACGGGTTGTTTAGTCTTCACGGATCGTGAGTGTGATAAATTAGTAAATTTCTTATTATTAAGCAATCTCTCTCTCTCTCTCTCTCTTCTTAATATGTGACAGAAGATCACGTGACAGAATATGTGACGGAAAATCAATCTCTCTCTCATTCTCTTTTCTCTTTCTTCGTATTCATTCTACTTTTAAAGTTACACGTTTACCTATTA